GAGTGGACCACTGGGCACTGTAGGGAAGCACATACCTCACAGGTGAGCCCCCAGGCCACAGGGAGCATGTGGGACACACATGGCAGTTGGAGTGTTCAGGGCAAGAAGAGCACCCAGGGAGGCAGGATGGGTGTTCGAGACAGGCCGGGCATCAGAGGAGTGGCATGCATGCAGAGGACCTGGCTTTCAATCACACGTGCCCAGCCTTGCCCGTGCACTGAGCTGCTGCCGACTCCTGTACAGAGGGGTATGGACCATAAGCTGCTAAGTCATTGCACCCAGAGTAAGCTGTGCTGCTGGGCCAGGGCACACAGCCCCGCGTGAGACACCATGCTGGCCCATCCATGTGCCATGCAGGCGTGAAGATCGGAGAGGCACTTACCCAGGAGGACAACAGCCGGGGGCAGGCCCAGATGGGGCTGCTCCCGGTCAGGGCTAGGATTGTCACCTGGCCAGGTTTCTTAGGATCATTCCCTTTTTTGAGGTAGCTGTCCCAGAAAATGTGCCAGGGTGCTTAGTACACAAGGCCAGCTGGCCAGTGCTGTGAAATCAGAACCATCCCTGATGTCCTCGCATTTGTACCTCAGAGCTGGCAACGCTAATGGGGCAGCGCAGGGCAAGGCACAAAGCAGTGAGGGTGGTGGAGCCGGTAACACCAAGGCTGGGGAGGGGCACGTGCCTACGTGTGGTGTTGTTTCTGGGCCTGCACAGGAAGGCCCCACAAGCTATCGCTGGCCTGTCGCTCCACACAGCTGGGCCAGGAGCCCCCGTGTCACCACAGCTCTATCGAGCCAGGGCAGCGGAAACAGCTGTGCCCAGCTCATGTCCTGCCCCTTATCTCAGCCTCAGACCCTTGCTGTGCTCCCGCCGAGGAGAGGCCCAGGCTCAGCCCTGAGCCGTTGGGCCCCACGGCTGGGATGGGTCTGGCGCTAAGGGCTCTGTCTGCCCTGCTCCAGGGGTGCTGGGCCCCATGGCTGGGATGGGGCTTGTGCTAAGGGCTCTGCCCACCCTGCTCCTGGGGTGCTGGGCCCCACAGCTGGGATGGGAGTGGCGCTAAGGGCTCTGCCTGCCCTGACCCTGGGGAGCTGGGCCCCACGGCTGGGATGGGTCTGGCGCTAAGGGCTCTGTCTGCCCTGCTCCAGGGGTGCTGGGCCCCATGGCTGGGATGGGGCTTGTGCTAAGGGCTCTGCCCACCCTGCTCCTGGGGTGCTGGGCCCCACAGCTGGGATGGGAGTGGCGCTAAGGGCCTGCCTGCCCTGACCCTGGGGAGCTGGGCCCCACGGCTGGGATGGGTCTGGCGCTAAGGCTCTGTCTGCCCTGCTCCAGGGTGCTGGGCCCCATGGCTGGGATGGGGCTTGTGCTAAGGGCTCTGCCCACCCTGCCCTGGGGTGCTGGGCCCCACGGCTGGGATGGGTCTGGCGCTAAGGGCTCTGCCTGCCCTGACCCTGGGGAGCTGGGCCCCACGGTGGGATGGGTCTGGCGCTAAGGGCTCTGCCTGCCCTGACCCTGGGGAGCTGGGCCCCACGGCTGGGATGGGTCTGGCGCTAAGGGCTCTGCCTGCCCTGCTCCCAGGATGCTGGGTTATTTGATCCATTTTACTGGAAAAAGAAAGGCCTGAATGTTTTTTAACTTACAGAATATAGAGCCTCGCCTGGCTGATAGGTGGGTCAGCCCCATAAGCAACAGAGCACTAGATCAGGAGCTCATAGCCCACAGGGGGCAGGCACTGAATCTTCAAAGATAATTCGTCTTCTGTTTATCAGGCCTTGTAGTTCAATAGGTTTCACCCGGGTCAGAGAGCAGAGTGTTATGCAGCCTAGTGAAACGTCCCAGCCAGCTCTGCAGCTCTGGTTTCACATTTTGGTGCTTCTGTTGGCATAATCCTGCTGCTTCCCTGCTCATCCAGGGGCCCTGCTGGGCAAGTTGTTGTTAAATGGTAAAGCAGTCACATACATACAAAGACTTCAAAGTCCATATATCAGGTTCCCAGCAGTATTGGTGAGTTTTCCAGCTTGAATGTCCCTCTGGAACACATCCACAGCTTGGATGGGTCATTCAGTCCTTTGTTCAGAGCTTCAGTTTGTAGCAAAGTTCCTCCGGAGGTAAGAAGCAGGACTGAAGAGAAAATGGAGAAGATGCAGCTGCCACATGCAGCCTGTGCTTCCTTTTGTTCCAAACACAAACTGCCCAGCACATGGCCTGGAAGCCTTAGGGCATGGCTACACTTGCAGATGTCGAGCGCTTTGAGTTAAACCAGCCTTCAGAGAGCGCAGTAGGGAAAGTGCTGCAGTCTGTCCACACTGACAGCTGCAAGCGCACTGGCATGGCCACATTTGCGGCACTTGCAGCGACTTTGGGAGCAGTGCATTATGGGCAGCTATCCCAGTGTTCAAGTGGCTGCAACTTGCTTTTAAAATGTGGGGGGGGGTGTAAGGTGGAGTGTGACAGGGAGTGTGTTGTGTGTATGTGGGGGGAGAGAGAGTGGGTTTTTGGAGTGCTGAGAGTGTGTCAGCATGCTGTCTTGTAAGTTCAGACCCCCCTCTCCCCCACCTCTCTCTCACTCACTCAAAGCAAGCAGCATTCCTCAGTAATGTTTGCTTTGTCTCAGGGCAGATAAGCATGCCGGCTGTCAGAAACGAAGCTTTGAAAGGGCATAGCCGCATTCCTACAGCCAATTCCTAAACAACGACAAGAGTCACCACTTGACTTAAGGGGATTATGGGACATTTCCAGAGGTCAATCAGAGTGCAGTAATACAACACCTTGTTCACACTGACGCCAAGACGCATCAAACGTTATTCCTCTCGCCGAGGTGGATTACCAGGAGCGCTCTAGCCATGGAGTCAGAGCGCTCGCTCTACATGCCTTGCCAGTGTGGACGGGGAGTGAGTGGCTTTAGTGCGCTTTAACCTGCAAGTGTAGCCAAGCCCATAGAGTTCTGTCCATAGGCATGCCCCTGCCTGCCTTGCTGAGTCATAAGGTGTATCTGCCTTCTCTCAATGGGTCAGCTGTATAGCTGATGGTCCTTAATGGGCCATCAAGCAGGCTAGGCAGTGCTGATGTCAAACTGTCTGGGGGTGTCACCCAGAAGCATAGCACAAGTTTTGTAATACAGACATACATACATATCTATAACCTTAAATACAAAAGTGATACAAACAGATAAATGAGATTATCATATTTGGCAAATTATAACATTTTGGCAGATATCTTATATAGCGTATCTGGCATAACTCATTGTAATTTTACAATATTGATATTCATAATATCCCAAAGTGTTTCCCAGATTCCATACAGCATCACATCTGGTCCCACCCCAGTGCCCACACCCCCAGCTGGAGCCCTCACCCCCTCCTACACCCCAAGCCCCTACCCAAGTCCAGTGAAAATCAGCGAGTGAGGATGGGGAAGAATGAACGATGGAGGGAGGGGGGATGGAGTGAGTGGGAGGTATGGCCTCGGAGAAGGGGAAGGGCATGGGCCGGGGAAGGGGTGTTTGGTTTTGTGCGATTAGAATGTTGGTCACCCTATGTGTGCATGCTATGGATATAACACTGTCTATGCTCCAATTTGAGTTCTGGGTTTAAGCACTGGCCCTTGAACTGAAAACTGGCTAATGAACAACAACTGAATAATAAATAGGGATGTATCTCACCAGGGGAGCTGTTTGGTGGGGTGCCACAATAAGCTATGTTTCAGAGTAGCAGCTGTGTCAGTCTGTATCCGCAAAAAGAAAAGGAGAACTTGTGGCACCTTAGAGACTAACAAATTTATTTGAGCATAAGCTTTCGTGCTTATACAGCTCACTTCATCGGATGCATTTTCCATTTCACGAAAGCTTATGCTCAAATAAATTTGTTAGTCTCTAAGGTGCCACAAGTCCTCCTTTTCTTTTTACAATAAGCTATGTTACATCTAGTCTTATTCAACAACTTCAGTAATGGCTGGAAAGAATCAAGGAGACACTTGGACAGCAGTGGTGCTGAAAGAGAGCTAGAGGAGAGTGAATTATGAACAGATGTGTCAATCTCCATAGTTAGGTTTGAAGCTTGGCTGCCCACCCAACAGCTGATTTTCACACATGCCAGCATCACCAGGGCCCAGCCCAACAAGGTGCCAACAGAGTTACAAATATCAGGAAAGAGGTTTACAAGAGCTGCAGGTACTGTATGTGGTCAGGAGGTCACAGAGACCTTTAGGATCATGGGAGGAGGGCAGAGCCCATTGCCAAGGACCACATTGTGCTGGGGGCGGGGTCTACTGCCGGTGGGATCAGAGTGTCACAAGAGGCCCACCACACCGGCAGGAGCAGGGTGGGGCGCAGAGCCCATAGCCCCTGAGGGTCAGGGGTCATGGCCATGGAGGTCATAGGATCATAGAATATCAGGGTTGGAAGGGACCTCAGGAGGTCATCTAGTCCAACCCCCTGCTCAAAGCAGGACCAATCCCCAATTTTTGCCCCAAATCCCTAAATGGCCCCCTCAAGGATTGAACTCACAACCCTAGCTTTCGCAGGCCAATGCTCAAACCACTGAGCTATCTGCGCCCTGGGGAGAGGGGTGGATGTGCCCGAGGAGCCGGGGTCAGAGGCCGCCCAAGGCGCGCGAAGCCGTGCGGGAGCGGGAGCTCTGCCAGAGCGCGTGGGGCGAGACGGGTCACGTGAGGGGGAGGCGGGGCGGGGCCCTGCACGTGATGGGGGCGGGCCGCGCGCGCCGCGTCAACCCCGGCCGGACAGCTGACCGCGCGCGCCATGTCGGCTGCCTGCCGCCCTTCCGCAGGTGAGGCCGCCCAGGGTTCGATTCCCCCGCTCGCCTCTCTGGGCCGCTCCGCTCCGCTCCCCGGCGGGCGAGAGCCCGCGGCTGCAGAGCCCGCCCCGTTCCTTGGCTCAGCCGGCCGGGCACCGGCGGCCCGTGCGGCCCCGAAGGGACGGGAGGGGCCGGCCGCAGCCCGGCTTTGCTGCGCGCTCCCCGGGGAGCGGGCGCCGCCGCCGCCCAGCTCGGCTTCTCACCCTGCTGGGAGCCCCTTCGCGCCGCTGGGGGAGGCGAGGCACTTCCCCGCCCTTTGCGGGGCTGCCAGGGGGAGAACGGACCGGGCGCTGGGGGCTCGTCCCGGCCCCTGGCCCCGGCAGGAGTTCGGCAGCGCGGGCCGGCTGAGGGGCCCGCTCCTCCCTGGCGGGGCCAGGCCCGGCTGGCCCGGCTGAGGCCCGCTCTCCACCTTGGAGAATTTCTCGTCTTCCATCGTGGCCTGGAAGAGTTTTCAGAGGCGCAGCCGTGTCAGTCTGTGTCTGCGAAAGGGACGGGAGGACTCGGGGCACCTTAGAGAGGAACCCGCTCATTTGAGCATCAGCTTTCGTGGGCTGCCGCTTGCTTGGCATAAAGTGGAGATCGTCGTTTGGACAGTGGCGTAGAGGACTTGTCCCCACCGCTCTTCTGTCTTGCTGCAGGGTGGCCCGTCTCGGGGTTTGCAGGGTGCTGTGTCTCCCGGTTTCCATGTCAGGTTTATTGTCCGTGGTTCTGAGGACCTGGTGGGCCTCTGCACGTCCTGCGGCTGTGGTGGTTTTACCCGGAGATCTGTAACAGTTCTCCTTAACCTTCCCAGACGCCTGGGTGTTTTATGTTTTGGTCCAGTTAGTGACTTGTCGCTCTAACACTCTTCCTCAGAGCCCTGGTGGCCAGGGTGTATGTGCCCAGGGTGTGTGTCTCACCTGTTCCCTCATTCTCCTGATCGCTGGGGGGAGGGCTTCAACTACTCTACCCCTTCCCCACCCTTAAGGCTTTTGTGTTCCTTTTTTTATTTTTTTTCCCTCTGGTGGTGGGGAAGGACCCTTTGGATTGCACTTGCTCCAGCGCTTGGTGTGCCAGGCCTTTTTCTCGAGCAGCAGGTCTCATAACTTCCTCTGCTCCCCGAGGGTTCTGAATCGTGGAACTGGTCCGCTTCAACCTCTTGTTACTCTTGTTGTGATTGCTAGGGAAAGCTCTGAGCTGTGGTGGTGCTGGAGCTGCCTGCCAACATGGCTTCAGTACGGAAAAGTTTCTTCACAACCCTAAGTATTGGACTTTTTTTTTTTTTTAAAACCGAAAAGTCTGTAGAAATGGATGACTTGAGTCTGTCTCCATTCCTATACCCCACACTCCTCCTCAGGCCTCTGAGAGAGCTTCCTGCTTGCCACGAGTGAGTCAAGGCCTGGCAGGAGAATTTCACTGGAAACTAAGGTCAGGACTCCGTCTCCATGGCTGGAGGGAGTCTGGGCTCTTATCCTAGTGTACGTGCTGGGGTAACACTGCAGTTATGCCCGTTTCCCCTGCCAGGACTGATACAGAAAGCTCCTCTGACAAGGGACCATATCACAGAACAAAACACACATGCACTTGGACCTTTGGGGTAACAATGGCCTGATCCTACAGGGTCTCTTACTCCTTGGTTCTAGAGCTGTACTGACTTGGAATGAATTGATGGAGCTCCTCTTCTTGATGTCTCATGAAATGCTGTGTGGCCTGATCGAACTATAATGAAGATGTTACCTTGCTTAACCATGAGATCTTCCTGCTATAACCCTAATCCCTCCCATCCTTGTTTGTTACACTCCTGTCTAAAGCTAGGCTATAGGCTCCTTAGGGCAGGGCCCTGTGTTGTTTGGTGCTCTACAGAGCTACAAACAACTGTCTGGGTGGTGTTTAAATGATCTTGTGTTGCTTCTTCTGAGTCCTATGAAGACATGAAATCATCTGGCCAAACCCTAGAGAGTTGGTATCTAGGTCATTGCTGAGGTGAGTGCCAGGCAGTAAATAAACCACCTTCCTGATGAGAAATCCTTATGGCCTGTTGATCATCATGTCTGACTAATCTGAGGAGCTAAAGTGGCTGGATCCACGAGGCTCCTGTCAGAGGACACACCAGATGGATCAAGGGGGAAGAAGTGATTTTGTTGGATGTACAGATGGTGAAGGGTTCAGTCGTAAGGATTATTGAGCCTGGGGGTTTAGGCTGCTTGAGAAACACCTGTTTCCTCGAAGGCCATGGAAGGGTGGGTGAGTGTCTTGCCCTCCCCCACCAATCACCCACTATTCAGATCTTTCTTTAGTGGAGTTAAGTTAGGCTGATGTGACAAACCATTTTGCTGGAGCTTGAGAGAGCGGGGAGGGAGGCAGGTGAAGAGAGCAAGCTGGCTAAATCTGGCCAAGATCTGAAATCCCTTCTAGGGTTTGGTGCAGGTGAGTGGCTCTGGAGCATCTCTTACATCAGTGAGGTGAGGACCATGGTGACTATATTTATATTCCTGTCTCTTCCACTCTCCCCCTCCCAGAGACACAGAGGCTGCTGACCCCTGTGAATAGCTATGGGTCTCAGGATGGGGGGGCCGGGCCAGGCGTGGGCTCCGCCTCCCTTCTGCCTGAGGAGGAAGACTTGCGCAGGCGCCTCAAGTACTTCTTCATGAGCCCGTGTGACAAGTTCCGCGCCAAGGGCCGCAAACCCTTCAAGCTGGTGCTGCAGATCATCAAGATCATCATTGTCACCATCCAGGTGTGTGGGGGGGGGGCTGGCTGGGGGGCATGGAGATGAAAAGCACTGTACTCTGGGCTGTGGCAACCTGGAGCCCATGTCTTTCTGGTTCCATTGTTCAGGGTAACTCTTGTCTCCTGTGATATATCGGGCAGCCTGGGGCACTGCTTGCTCTTGGGTAGTAATGCTAGGTTGGGGTACTCAGGCAGGCTCTGTATGCAGGCTGAGCCCGCTGAAAGGAAAGTCAGTACTTTGAAACCGCATGGTCTATAGTCAGCCTCATGATGGGAACATGAGGAAGTGGCCTGGCTATCTGACTGCTTTCCTTGCTGAAAACTGGCTTGGAACACTATGTTCAGCAGAGCGGGATCTACCCTGTAAGTGTGTGCTCCGTACAGCCCCTTGATTAGTGCATTGAATGCACAGAGCTCCATCAGTGCAGCATGAAGGCTGCCTCCTTGTGCTCGGTCTGGCTCAGTTCAGGTTTTGTAAAAACACAAAATCAGTAGAAATATCTCCTCCTAAAACTGTCGTCCTCCTGTGGCGCTTGCAGCTTAGCCATGCCATTGCAGCACTGTGCTAGCACGTGAGAGGCTGGAAACACAAATCAAAATGAGCCCTGTCGGGAACTCCTGCTCTTCTGCAAAATGTTTTTGATAAACTGATGAGCTGGTCTCTTCATTTTGCAAGTGGAGAGCAATGCAAAAGGGAGAACTATCACACTTCTGCTGAAAAGTAAATTGGATTTAGTCAATTTGAATAATTAAGCAAAGATGGTTGTAATAATATTGGGAAGGTAACTTTTTTGTAATTATTTTAAACCTGAGTTTCCCCTAAGACAGGTATTCCCAAACTTTTGTTATTGCATGCCCCCTTCCAGATCTATCAGCTGCCCGTCTCATCATTGATACTTCTTCTTATACCTCTTTTTAGCCATCTGTCCATATTTCACTTATAATGTGACTTATACAACCAAAAAAAAACCCCTGACTAAGTTCTGAGCTCAGTTAGATTGGATAGTGGCTGGGCAACTGAACCCATGCTGTACAGTGATTGGAGGTGAGGGCTCTGTATGTCAGCGTCTCTGTGTATCTGTGTTTTCATTGGAACATCGTGATGTAAATTAACGAATTTTATATAACAATTTCCCTCCGTTTTAAAGCTTTGTCTGAGTAGCCTATTATGAAAATGCAATAAATGAAATCCACCATTACACACTTTCTCCTGCATTCCCCCCGAGATGTCTAGTGTACTTACCACAGTTTGGGACCTCCTGCTTTAAGACTGTCAGCGAGGTTAATGTGGACACGCTGCACATCTAATGCTCTGACCAGCATTTGCAAATGAGATGGGCTAGATCCTACCTTCCCATTGACTCTGAGTTCTGGGTGCTCTAGATATGTAACAAAAAGGGCAACAAAAATTATTAGGGGTATGGAACAGCTTCCATATGAGGAGAGATTAATAAGACTTGGACTTTTCAGCTTGGAAAAGAGATGATGAAGAGGGGATATGGTAAACGTCTATAAAATCATGACTGGTGTGGAGAAAGTAAATAAGGAAGTGTTATTTACTCCCTCTCATAACAGAAGAACTAGGGGTCACCAAATTAAATTAAAGCAGGTTTACTTCCTTTTTTTGGTTTTATTTCTTCACACAACAATTCTTTGCCAGAAGATGTTGTGAAGGCCAAGACTATAACAGGGTTCAAAAAAGAACTAGATAAATTCATGGAGGATAGGTCCATCAATGGCTATTAGCCAGGATGAGCAGGGATGGTGTCCCTAGTTCTTTGCCAGAAGCTGGGAATGGGCGACTTGGGATGGATCACTTGATGATTACCTGTTCTGTTCATTCCCTCTGAAGCACCTGGCACTGGCCACTGTTGGAAGACAAAATACTGGGCTAGAGGGACCTTTGGTCTGACCCAGTATGGCCATTCTTATGAAAGATTGGGACATGTGCAGTGTGACATGATTAACGCTGCTATTGGAAGCTCAGTGTGTACATTTCCTGCCTTGTGTTTGAAGCTTCCATGTTGTGTTGATGGGGGATTTAACTCTTCCCCTTTCTGCCTTAAGTGGCTATTAGGAGCTGGCGTTAAAGGGGGCTGCAGCTCCATGTAGTTGCACAATACAGTTTTGCAATTCAATAGGCTTGAAACTACACCAGGCTCTCGATAAACAGGAACTTGGCTGCCCCCTGTGTAACTCCTCAGGATGCAGGGGGTGATGTGATTAAAAACCTCCCTGAACTGTTCTGTTCTGCACTCATCTAAATGTTGGAATTGCTTCTAAAGCAGCTGTTCAAATCCCTTCCCAAGCTTGCCCATCAGTAGCCCTCGCTGAGGGTGAGCTATGTGAATTATTCATTATGATGATCTCGTCTGACACCTAGGCCAGAGAATCTTCACCCAGTGAGTTCTGCATCTAGCTTGTTCAGTGGGAGCATGTCTCTATATCAATCAATGTGTGAATGTCAAGGGGCAAAGCCAAAGCACTTAAGAGCAGGGAGAAGAACAGTTGGTGGAAGGTGAATAATATTCACATAGCCACTAGCCAAGCAACTTGTGAAAACCCTCATGTCTAGGAAGGCCTCCCTCTGCAAGCAGCTCATCTCCTAGATGTGAAATACTGGAGTCTAGATCTCTGAGCTGTGACTAAAACTTCCTTCCTTAAATCCACTGACAGAGGGAGCTTTAAATACCTCAGCTGCTACAGTATCTTCTTCTGGGGCCTCCCAGGATCTCCTCTTCCCCCTTCCCTCCAGCATATCCAAATGTAGTAGCAAAGGTCATCTTCCTCTCCTGTCGTCTCCTGTTTCCAGTCCCCTCACTGGTCTTGTTTGGTTCAAGGTTATTTACTTCCATCCTGCCTAGGTGTCTCCTTGCATCTCTGTTTCCCACCTGGGCTCCCTCTGCCATCTCACTTAGTCATCTCTCCTCCTTTCAGCAGCTAACAGGCAGTCTGAATAAACTTTGCGTGGGAAGCTTTCCTTGGACAGTGGCACCAGGGAGGGTGTGAAAGGAGGGTTGGGACTCCAGATTTGGGTAAGGGATGCAGCTCCTCTTTAACTACCTGTGTGGGTGGGAGTGACTGTTCTTGGAGGCGCAAGAGGGAGCACAAACTGTTCTAGGCTTGGTCTGGACTTAAAACTTGTACCAGCATAGCCACATCTGACAGGTGTGGGGAAAAACCACCTCCCCCAGCTCACAAAACCCCCAGTGTAGAGGTAGCAATGCTTACAGAAGAAGGCTCCTCTTACATAGATAATATTCGACGAGTTGGCGTTCCTGTACCAGTAGAAAGACTCCCGTGGATGTTTATGCTAAGGGGCTATGCTGGCATAGCTATGATAGCATGGGCTCTGTAGTGTACACACAGCCCTAGTTTCTCACTCTGGCATTCTGTAAAAAGCAAACTTTGTGTTCTCTGAAGCCATCAGATCTGGTTGACTTCCTCCCCCACATCTGCTGAGTACAGAAACCCATTTGTCACTTGGGCAAAACTGCACTTTTAACTTTAAAAATATCACTAGCTGGTAAGATTTCATCGATAGCGGTAATGAATAAAGACAGTTCGTAAAGACACACTTAAAAGAAAGCAATAGCTGGAGTAAAATCCTTGTCAAGAGGAAGGCCTTACCTCACTGAGTAGCTGTCTGATTTAGGGTAGGGCATTTGGCCCCGTCAAGAAGTAATTGGTCAGTTGACCTGTCAGGCATTGGTCAAATATTCTAAAACTCTAACGTATTGTAACACTTTTTTTTTTTTTTGATTAGTAAGACTTTAAGACTCCAGTAGACTCAGTTCTAGATACTTATGCCTAATTACAAAAAAAAACAAAGTTACTTGAGATATTTTAACTCAGAAAAATGCAAATTATAATGAAGTTTTAAAACATGAAAGAATGGTACCATGATGCAATCAGAAGGGTAGGGTGGGCTGCCACCTGTTCTTGCTGGAATATTTGACAGTATTTGACTGTGGTCAGTCATGTTGCCAAGCCTAGTCTGATTCTAATCTAAGATCCAAAGTATTACTAGATTATAAAGGAAATACATTTCAGTGCAGAGAGACTGTGAGGCACAGTAGTATATCAGGATCTGTTGTGGAAAACTGCAAGGCACAGGATGTCACAAGACCATCCTGTGAGCGGTCTGCAAATTCCCCATTCTGTCCTTTGTTCACATTAGGGAGCTGTGATCCAAGAAGAGTTTGACCAAAAGACCAAACGTCTTCCCCTGTACAGTCAGTCTGAGCTCTGCAGAAGAAAGTTCCAGGGCCATTATACCAATAGATTTAAGCACCAATAACTTTCCTGTGCATCTCTCTGAAGTTCCTTACGGACAATCATCTCTATGCTTGATGAGAACCGGAGAAGACTATGGGGAGATTCAGAGAGACCTGACCAGCCTGGATGAATAGGCAGCATGGTGGCATAACATTTCATATTCATAAATGCAAAGCCTGTTGAATGAAAAAATCTGAACTGCTTCACCTGGTGGGTGTAAATTAGCTCTCCCCAGGAAAGGGACTTGAGTGTCATTGTAGACCGTGTAGTGGAGAGTTCTGTTCAAAGTGCAGCTGCAGTCAGAAAAGCAAATAATGTGCAGATGCATAAAGAGTAGGATAGTGAATAGTCAGCGAATATTCTAATACCTTTATCTAGTCAGTGGTGCAGCCTCATCTGGACTCTGTATGGTGCTGAGAACCTCATAACGGATAGGGTACTGAAGAACTAGAGGGGGTTCAGAGAAAGGTACTGAAAATGATTGATGGCCTGGAAAGTTCTCCTATGAAGAGAGACTGAAAAGACTGGGCTTGTTACCTAAAATAATGACTGAGTGAAAAGATATATCCTCTTTTCAGCTTTGAATTTCCCACCTGTCAATTTGCAATCAGATTGTGAAGCTCTGTGCCACAGTTCTGCCTTGAGTTGTTGAAGCCAAGAACTCAGCAAGATTTGAAAAGGGACTGGACATTTATACAGCTAACGATAATATCCGGAGTTGTAATTGATAACAAGTGTTGTGAAAGGGATATTGAACCTCCTGCTTCAGGTCTTTAGACAATCTGCAGCTACCAGTGACGTGTGTGAGCCCTAGGTAGAGACCGATATCCCTCACCTGCTACTGCGGGATTCTCACCTGCTCCTCTGCAGCATCTGGTGCTTGGCAAGATGCATCTTGGTTCTGATCCAGTCTGGCTGTGCTGTGTTCCAGTCTGCGTAGCTCTAGTTAGGCAAGGGGAAATGTGACATCTTTGATGTTTAATAATGATATATGTCCTTATTTCTCCTTACTCCCCCTTTCCCAGTAATTGATGGAAGGTAGCTATGTTGAAGCAGAAGGCATAGTGTGGAGGGGAGCATGGCTTTCTCCTCAAAGATGACTCCAACTTAGTTCCTAACACTATCAATAACAAGGAAGTTTATTGCAGAGAAAGGGGCCATCACCATGCTCAGAGACCCCAATAGCCTAATGTAACACCACTTACTACTGCTGTCGCAAACCATATGTCCTCTGTGGAATTGTACTGTTCAGTGGAAGCTCGTAGAGTGCTCTGCTGCTGCCAGTGATGATTGTCAGTCATTGCTCCTCTCCTCCAGCTCTTAATGTTCGAGCCAAGGAGGTAGTTCTAGTGATTCAAGAAACCAGCTTCTGGGTTGGGTTGACTGAGATGAGATTGTAACACTCAAAAGGCTGATGCAGCTGTGTAACAGAGGCTGTGCGAGTGAGTGAAACTTGTGGTTCTACAGAATGCCACACTCCATTGGTAAACTGTTGCCAGGGGCAGCGTTCTCAGGTGGTTTCATTCTCTTCTCTTCTGCAGCTCATCCTCTTTGGGCTCAGCAATCAGATGGTGGTGACGTTCAAGGAGGAGAACACCATTGCTTTCAAACACCTGTTCCTGAAGGACTATGTGGACGGGTCGGAGGACACATATGCTGTCTATACGCAGAGGGACCTCTACGATCACATGTTCTATGCCGTGGAGAAGGTGAGAGGAGGAGCGCGCTGGGGTCCTGGGAGATCTAAGCGGGCTGGGCAGGGATCCATCAGCAGACCCCTGTGTGGATACAAAATTTGTATCCACATCCGATCGGCAAACATGGTATGCAGATATCTGTGGATACAAAGTGGCTATCCGCATATTTGCAGGGCATTAGCCTTTGCGATGAGCGGAGTGAGGGAGGAGTGGTGTGGGGCTGGGACAGAGGGCTCTCCATGGCTCATAGCAGAGCATTGCTGACATGGGGGCTTTGGGGCAGGATGGTAAAGTCTCCTCCTCCTTCCCCAGTACTTGGCCATTCCTAATGAGACCATCGGGCGCTATGCCTACGTGCGTGGGGAGTGCAGCAGGAACCAGTCGGCCCTCACGCTGTGCCAGCAGTACTATCGCAAGGGGCAGATCGACCCTGCCAATGACACTTTCAACATCGACCCCAAGATCATCACAGGTAAGCGAGCCCCAGGCTGCTCTGTGCTTCTGGGTCCCTGGAGTGTTGTCAGGCTCCCTGATGGATCTCTCTGCTGGGCCCCATGGGCTGGTGCTTACTACTGCCCAGTCAGCTGTGTGCTCACCCTGGCCTTGTGAGTATCAGGTGGTGCCCAAGCTGCATGACAGCTGAAGAGGTGGCAACAGGCATTGACTGGCTGGCAGAGTTGAGGGCTTAGTTGGGTAAGGTGGCAATGCCCTGCAAAGTGTGGGCTTGCTGTTTGTGCCCCTGTCTCTACCTAGGCTCTTGTCCCGTGCCTCTCCGTGGGGTCTTCTCGCACCTTGGTGGGGAAAAAAAGGGTCCCTGTGGCTTATATCCCCAGCGGTGCCTGGGAAGGGGAGTGCACCCAAGGCCTTGCTCACACTAAACTCAAGGTGGGGTGGGTGAGCACTCTTTTGGCATGTGAGCTCCCTGGAGCCTTGCTGCGGCCTCGGGGCCGGGGGAGGGGATTGCTGGGAATGTCTGTTGCACCCGGCCTGCGATGGCTGCCCATGGCATAGCAGGACAGATGCCATGCTAAAGCGCTCTGTAAACATGCGAGGGGTGGGTTGGCTTAGACTAGCTCCTGCCTCTTGTTTGAAAAGCAGGCTTAGGTCCTTGTTCTCTGCTCCTCTCTTGCTCCAGCCTGGCGGCAGGGCTGGTCTCTGATGTGGCAAATGGTGCCATTGTGTGTGGGGGGGGTGGGGGGGAGGTGGGAGCTTTCCTTGCTGCTGGAAGGTGGGGAGGGGACAGTAAGCCCTGTGTGGGTGCTAGCTGGGCTGCTTCTCTGAGGACAGTCTCCCCTTCCTCTGCAGACTGCCTGGGTGTGGACCCCATGGAGAGGATGCCCGGGCCCCTGCAGCCCCACCCCAGCTACCGGAACTTCACGCTCAAGTTTCACAAGTAAGTGTCTTCTCTCTCCAGGCATGTCGTGAGTGACGTGGGGTCTCTTCTGTTACCAAGGGCAGGGCACGGCTAACTGCTGAAAACAGGAGATGCAGTCAAAGCTAGGGTTGCTGGCAGTATTACCTGAGGGAGCCCGGTTCTCTGTCTCTGGCTCAGTCCCCTGTGGGCTATAATCCTTTGGTCTGATTTGGATTGCTGGGTTTATGGTACGGATGCTGGTGGCCTGTGATACATGGGAGGTCAGAGTAGGTGATCTGGTGGTCCCTGCTGTCCTCTAACTCTGTGGAGCTGTCCACACCAGCCAGAGGCAAAAGCTGGGCAGGAGCAACCCCGGGGAGGGGAATGGGGGGCCCTGGGAAGGTGTCTTTAGGAGCAGTTTGGCTGGGACAGTGTGGGGTTGAAGAATATTGGCTCTGGCACTTTCTGTGGGGTCTAGGCTGGGATTCCCAGTGTGGCTGGGAGGGAGTCCCTGTGTATTGCCCCAAACCAAAAGGGCGAACAAGTTGCTGAGCACGGGAAGGGGGCTAGACTTGTTGCTGGGAAACTATTAGGGAGCCGAAGGGGGTGAAACTGAGGCAGTGGCTGGGTCTGATGCTGGTGAAGGGGAGACCCTGTTAGTTCCCTGGCAGCATTACCCGGGGGCAGCACATGCAGCATCATGTGTGGCTTCAGCTCTTCAAAGTTTCCTGCTCTGATGATTCCAAATTTAGGGCCTTTGTAGTGGAAACAGCCTTATTCATGAAAAGTGTTGCTGGACAGAGATGAATCAACTTCCTCAGCCAGAGGGGGAGAGTCTCTTGCCTGAGCTCAATTCCTCAAGTACATACAGGTCTGATTTGCTTCTGTGGGCCCTGCTAAGCGGGCACCATCTCCCACCACAGCGTCACTCGGTTCCCGTTGCAGAACTGTGCAGGGTGCTGCACAGACTCCTAGTAAGGCACAGCCCCTGCCCCCAAAAGCCTTATCTGAGTAGACATGACAGACACAGGATAAGAGGGGAACAGGCATGGGGAGGGAAGTGACTCTCCCAAGGTCACCAAGCAGGCCAATGGCAGAGTCCCAGGCCGGTGCTCTATCCACTAGACCCCACTGCATGCAGAATTATTACTAAGGGTTTGTCTACACTAACGGGGGGGGGGAGGAGGTTTGATGTGCAGCGATCGATGCATCGGCAGTCGATTTAGCAGGTCTAGTGAAGACCCGCTAAATCAACTGCCGATCGCTGTCCACTCCTGTGCTCCACCTGAAAAAGAAGCGCCAGGGGAGCTGATGGGGAGAGCGTCTCCAGTCGACATTGTGTAGTGCGGACCCCGCGGGGAGTAGATCTAAGCACGGCGACTTCAGCTACAGTATTCACGTAACTTATATCAATCTCCCCCCGTAGTGTAGACGAGGCCTGATGAGTGTAAGAGACAGAAGCCCCCCCAGCTGAGGGGTGAAACCGTAGGGTGCAGCAGGGACCGTTTTCATATTTCTCAGTGGGGCAACCTGGGCCTGTGAGTGATGGAGAGTGAGTGAGGGACTAAAAGTGGCTAAAATCTGTGGCAAGGTAAGGGCATGGGTGGGAAGGGGGATGCAGGTGGGCTGGCTGGCAGGGTCGAGTTGGTGGACAGGAAGGGGGACGCAGGTGGGCTGGCTGGCAGGGTCGAGTTGGTGGACAGGAAGGGGGACACAGGTGGGTGGGCTGGTTGTTGGCACTGGGTCCTGATGGGGAGACAGATGTGCTGGCCCACTGGCTGACGGTAAGTTGGTGGGAGGGGAGACCGGTGTGGGGGCTGGCAGAGCCAAGTTGGTATGTGTGTTGGGGGAACGACAGATGTGAGGGCTGGCTGGCAGGGCTGAGTTTGGGGGACACTGGTGGGCAGGCTGACAGGCAGAGCAGAAGCCTTAGTTGAGCAGAACAGTTCAGTATCCTGAGAAGCTCCTGATCTTGTTCAGTGGCTCCTAGGGACTCTTGCATGTGAGGCAGGGTGCTCCGCTGGGCTCTGAAATGCTGCACCAGCTATTCTCATTGTTCCTGTGCCCTGGGTCCCTCTTTTCCCTTCTCCTTCTTACGTGGGCTCTGGGGCCTGCTTCAGCCTGTGCTAGCACAGTGGCATTGTTGCTGCATTGTCTACAAGAACTTCTGCTTCCCCTGTGGTTACTCAACATGCTGCTAAATCTGGGACTCAGCAATTGAGAGAGCACAGTTGCTAAGGGCTGGCCGAGCTCTGGAGGACTGTGTGATAGGGCCCTAGGAGCTCTGTGGTGTTGAGGATGTGTGCGGTGACCACTGTATAACGTGAATGAGCGCAGGGTTGGGGAAGATACCACTAGCTTGAGCTGAAAGACATACATCCTAGTTCTAGCAGGACGAATCTGAAGGCGATGGCTCCCTGTTGAATTGAACTATGGGACGGGGGAAAATGCTTCTGTCATAAATATAAAGGGAAGGGTAAACCCCTTTAAAATCCCTCCTGACCAGAGGAAAAATCCTCTCACCTGTAAAGGGTTAAGAAGCTAAAGGTAACCTCGCTGGCACCTGACCAAAATGACCAATGAGGAGACAAGATACTTTCAAAAGCTGGGAGGAGGGAGAGAAACAAAGGGTCTGTGTCTGTCTGTATGCTGCTTTGCCAGGGACAGAACAGGAATGGAGTCTTAGAACTTTTAGTAAGTAATCTAGCTAGGTATGTGTTAGATTATGATTTCTTTAAATGGCTGAGAAAAGAACTGTGCTGAATAGAATGACTATCCCTGTCTGTGTCTTTTTTTGTAACTTAAGGTTTTGCCTAGAGGGATTCTCTGTTTTAAATCTAATTACCCTGTAAGGTATCTACCATCCTGATTTTACAGAGGTGTTTCCTTTACTTCTATTAAGTTTTCTTGTAAGACAACTGAATGCTTTTTCATTGTTCTAAGATCCAAGGGTTTGGGTCTGTGGTCACCTATGCAAATTGGTGAGGATTTTTACCAAACCTTCCCCAGGAAGTGGGGTGCAAGGTTTGGGAGGATTTTGGGGGGGAAAGACATGTCCAAACTACGTTTCCCACTAAACCTGGTTAAAGTTTGGTGGTGGCAGTGGAAATCCAGGGGCAAAGGATAAAATTAATTTGTACCTTGGGGAAGTTTTAACCTAAGCTGGTGAAAATAAGCTTAGGAGGTTTTCATGCAGGTCCCCACATCTGTACCCTAGAGTTCAGAGTGGGGGAGGAACCTTGACAGCTTCCCATGCACTAACAAGCAGGAGGCGGTGTTGGTGGGGGGAGGCAGCTCAAAGTGCCCATCGGTTATGTTCATGGCGTTATTGTTAAGAATACAGCTGCTCTGCAGCGGGGAGGTGTGACACATGCACTACTCAAGCTAACACAATAAAAACAGCAGTGTGGCCACCGTGGCCTGGATGGCGGCTTAGGCTAGTTGTTTGAGCCGTACCTAGGATCTTGGTTGTGGTTGTACTAGGATGACTAGCCTAAGCCACAGTGGCCAGACTGCCTTTTTAGGCACTAGCTCGAGCAGAACTAGTGCATGTACATCTACCTGAGCTGGAAATTATACCTCCCAGCTGCAGTGTAAAGACATTACCTTGGTTTCCCTTTAGGCTGTGTTATCAAGTGGTTGGGATGGAGCAGTGAGTCAGAATTCTGGGTTCTGCTCCTGGCTGTGCCACTGCTCCCGTGATTTCAGCTAAGTTGCTATTTCCCCATCTGTAAATTGGGCCAACACCAGCTTCTTAAGGGGGGATGGCCTGTGTAGCTTTGGGCCGAAAGGGGCAGTATGGTGCCGAGTTTCTAGCTGTGAAGAGCAGCTCCCTCGTGGAGTGATTGAATGGTATGGTCCATTCCATTCCGAAGACGTCCTGTTAGTCTGATCACTGTCTCCTGCAGGCTCATTAACGTCACCATCCAGTTTAAACTGAAGGCCATCAACATCCAGACGATCATTAACAATGAGATCCCGGACTGCTACACCTTCACCATCACTGTGAGTAACCCTGGCCCAGCTCTGAGCTGCACCTGCTTGCGCCAGAGAAATACATAGGCAGCACTCCCCCAGGGCTGCAGCTGCCTGAGGGAAGCATGGGAGTTTGGGATGAGTTAGAGATGGACAAGCCGTTAGCCTGTACTACCTTCTTCCTGGGAGACCACCCCACAGCCTGGTCGCTCTCGCTGTCAGGGAACACTCGCTCTTGAGCAAAGGAGCGGTCAGGCTGAATTCCTCCGAGCGATGTGCCCCTGGGCCAGCGAGCGAGGGCAGGTAGCTCTTTGGGCTGAGTCCCTGGGGTGGTGAGCAGCCGTGACATAGGAGGAGGGAGCCAGGGAGGAGGCCAAGGTTTCTGGCTGTGGTGCAGTTCTAGTGGGGCTCTCAGCTGGAAAGACACTGTGAAATTGCCCTTGCTCCACAGTGCCACCTGCTGACTCAAGCGACGAAGTCTGCTGCTGCTCATTCCTCTTGGCCCTGCAGAACCAGCTCAAGAGCTGGATTCCAACTGGCTCATGCGTCTGAGCCAAGAACTCTTCCCAGAGAGCCAGGAGGAGCCCAGCTGGGCTCCCTGAGCCTGCGGGGCTGCCAGGTGCACCCTCTCTGCGTGGCCGCTCGCTGAGCAGGTTCTCCGTCAGAGGGTCAGTGTGAGACCCAGCTGTGCTGCTGGCACATGCTGCCTGGCAGAGCAGGACTACAATAAGGGAGTGAGAGTCCTGCGGCAGGAGCAGGGCTGGTGAGGACTATCCAGCCAGAGAGGTTCCTGGCCATCCCATTCCCTCCTCGCTGTGCAGTAGCAGTCTTCCTCTTCCTTCACCAGATCACGTTTGACAACAAGGCTCACAGTGGCCGGGTGAAGATCAGCCTGGACAACAAAGCTGACATCAAAGAGTGCAAGGACCCCAGCGTGTATGGCCGAGGTAGGGGGTGGGAAGGGCAGACAGAATGGGGGGCAGTCTTCCTCCTCCCCCCCCCAACCACTGCTAACTGGAAGGGCCATTGGTTTGGCTATGCTAGCGTTGCTGTGAACCATTCAGGCCTGTCCATTCTAGAAGCCCCCTTTCACAGCAAATGTGACCTCGCCTCTGGGCTGAGCCTTCCTCAGCTAGATCTGTGCCGGGGGATGATTTGGGCAGGTGGAGGGATCTGTTCAGCAGCGTTGGAGTGATCTCTGGGTGATGTGGCTCAGGGCAGGTGTCCATGGAAGACCATGCACCGCTCCTGTGATCGGAGCAGACATGCCTACTCCTTACTTCCTCACTCCCACGTAACTAAAATCCTGGCTTCAGGATGGGCACTGGGTGTCACCCCTGCTGTCTAGCAGGCTGATGGTGGTGGCTGCTCTCTGCTGGGCGTTCTAGGCCGGTGTGGCATGTGGGCTCCGGGCGCTGCTGTCTCCATTCTCAGACCCCTGAGCACTCCGTTCTTGTGGAGGAGTCTGTCTCCTTCGCTGCTTCTCCTCCACCGGGGCTCTCCTACACTGTACTCTGGGCTCCGCTTGGCCACCCTGGTGTTCCCTTGCTGAGGAGATCCACTGCCTCTTCCAGGAGACAACACCTTCCGCGTGTTCTTTGACGTGGCTGTGATCCTTGTTTGTGTGCTGTCCTTCATCCTGTGTGCCCGCTCCATCATCCGGGGCTTGATGCTGCAGCATGTGAGTACTGGCCTGGCCTGCTGGGCTGACCAGCATGAACCCTTCGAGTGCCACTGGGCAAACATCAGGCTCTGACAGCACAGCCCCTTGCACTCCTGCAGCCTCTCAGGAATGATGGGCCTCCACTTGGGTGTAAGGCTGTGCCTGCTGCAGCGATCCCCTTTGAGGCTGGGTCTCTCTGGCAGGAGGGAGGGTTCCCAGGGCATCTCCTATGAATCCCTTGAGGCACACATCTACTGAATAAGGCTGAGGGCCGTGGGCATCTCTGGGGGTGGAATGGCTCAGTCAGTCTGAGATGGAGCTGTCAGAGGCTGGAACCTGCTGCTCCCAGCTGAGTTGCCCTGGAGGTGAGCAGAGCATCAGACCAGTGAAGTGAGAGAAAGTGACCTGGTGAAAAGGGCAAATATGAATTTTATTTTGAGCTAGGTGAAAACCAGCTCTGCCCAGTGCTCCGAGAGAGAGAGTTTTGCTTTGTCTATTTCTCCCTCTGCAAGGGTGAGGATTCTGGGACATGGGGCCTGCTACTCCCACTGGGGCCTTCTCCGCCCAGCAGCCATGTTCCAAACCAAACATCCCCAAGGGACTCTTGGGAGTCCACATCAGTCCCCTGCTTGGGAAGCGTTGTCCCTGCTGTGGGTCCATCACCGCTCTCCATCCTGCTTGCAGGAGCTGGGCCATTTCTTTCAGAGATGCTACAACCAGGATGTCTCCCTGTCAGACCGCATGGAGTTTGTGAATGGCTGGTACATTCTGCTGGTGGTGAGTGATGTCCTGACAGTGTCTGGGACCATCATGAAGATCGGAATTGAGTCAAAGGTGAGGGGATGGCCAGGCATCCATTCCTGTGTGTGCTCTTCCCCCTCTCTCCGATGGGGCTGTGCCGGGGAACCCTCCCAGAGAATCTCTCTGGTAAAACATCTCCTCTGCACCCTGGGAATGCTGCCAGGGCAGGGGCACTGGCAGGGTGTGCAGAGCCACTGGAAGGCCACACCTTCGCTCCCAGCAGGTGGCGTCTGCACTCTTGTGGCTGGGGCGCTGGGATTCCTCCTTGCACCTCCCTGATAGGGTTGGGGCAAGGACCCTGCTCAGTCAGGCCAGAGGAGAAGAGGAAGATGCTGGTCCTCTGGGAATGCACCATTTGCCCCCTGCCAGAGCTGTTAATAGCTGTAGCCTGAGGGGATTTTCACGGAGGAACTAGAGGAACCAGCTCCCTAGCGGCCCCAGGCCAGGGCACTCAATGGGAGTGAGTCACAAAACAGAGAGGCAGCCAATAGCCTCACTGACAAGTGACTTTGGCTGTAGAGCTGGCAGCTTGCTGGGCATGGAGATCCCAGCCTAGGTGCAGATGTGGGCACTGCCAAACCTCCTGCCTTGGGGTCATGTTCCCTCCTAGCTCAGGGCTGTTTGTAAGATCAGTGCAGTAATCCTGTGGCTCTGTAGGCTCCTGTAGAGCTTGAGGCACCATTTGCCTGTTCTGTTCCCAGCAGGGAGAGAGGGACAGGGAAGGACCCACTCTGAGACTGCATGGCCCAATAGCTGCATATGGGTGCCGGATTGCTGCTGTCCCCATGCTCTGGAGTGAGGGAACGATCATGGCTACTGAGCACGTCTGAGTGTTTAGTGAAATCCTGGTCTGCGCAGGTCCATGCGGGGCCCTGAGTGACGATCCCCCTCCAGTGTACAGCCCTTCCCCGCCACAGACCGTAATGTAGGGGACCCAAGGCACTAGGTACTCGTGCCAGGTCTTTGCCTAGTTTAAAAGGGCCCGAGTGGCTTCCTCCCTTCCCTTGGGAAACCATGCCAGGTACCAAGCCAACCCTGTCCTGAGCCCAACCTGTTCTGGCCCTTGGCCCATCCCAAAGGGGACCCCTGGCCAGGTTAGGACGGACAGACTGTGCTGTTGTCCTGGAGCCAGGCTTGGGAGTGATCAGTCTCCTCCTCTCCCCTCTGATTGGTCCTGTTGCTTTTCGCTGACCTGCCCTCCCCTCGCTTGCCTCCCCACTCCAGAGGCTGCAAGGCCTTTCCTGATGCAGATCTTTTCCAATCAGTCATGTTCCAAATGCATAACAGGCTGAGGGCTGCCCTCAGTGTCTTGTATTGCTGCTCCTCGGGCTCTCCTGTCCACCTGCCGGTAGCTGTCAGCTGGGTTCTGCTCCCCTGGCTGTAATGGATTCATAGATTCCAAGGGCAGAAGGGACCACTGGGATCATGTGGTTTGGCACAGGCCAGAGAACTTCCCCAGAGCAGAGCTCTTAGAAAAACATCCAATCTTGAATTAAAAATTGCCAGTGATGGAGAACCCACCACAGCCCTTGGCGGAATGGTAGTGAGTGCTGGGTAGTCCAGGATACTAAGCACCTCAGCTCCTGTTAATGATGGGAGGCACGTTTGCTGTGAAGGGCGGGGCCGCCTGACGTGTCTGTGTGTGTCTGCAGAACTTGGCCAGCTACGACGTGTGCAGCATCCTTCTGGGCACCTCCACACTCCTGGTCTGGGTCGGGGTCATCCGCTACCTCAGCTTCTTCCAGAAATACAATGTGAGTGATGCCTGCGTGCAGACGCACGCAGCATGTAGCGAGAGAGCTCTGTCTCAGTGAGTGGCAACGCTGCTCGAGGTGCTGTATTCTGCTCGAAGCGAAGGCCTGGGCAGACTTTGCCCCCTCAATCCTGACCTGCAGCATGCCACTGCATCTCCCTACCCCTGGCTCTTCTCTCACAGCTCTGCCGATCCCCCTCAATCCTGACTTGCAGCCACGCCCCTGTGATTACAGATGGGGTTCACCCCCCCCAGCTCTGCCAGTGCCCCTCAGAGCTGACTTGCAACCCCCCAGCTATTCCAGCCCTGCTTTCTCAGCAAACAAAAGTGGAACAATTCAATGTAAACCTGTTGTGCTGGCTAATGCTCTTTCTACTCCACATCAGTGCTCTGAAAGGATGGGGCTTCCAACGCTCCCTTTAAGAATCATTTTGCAGCCTGATCGTTCGCCCTGATACTCAGCTCCATTGCCCTGTGATATCATGCCATTGCACTTGCTCCTCTTCCTGGGCCACCTCTTCCTGCTCCTCCCCTAGGTTGACATGTCCCTCCTATTCCTAGGAGCAGCCTCTGCCACAGGAGACATGGGTCTCCCCAGCTATGCACACTCAGCTGCCTTTCCTCTGGAGGATCGCTGCTGGCCTGGGGACAGGACTCGGTCCCAGGTGCTGTTTCTGCAGGGCTCTGGCAAGACTTGATGCCTCTGCATGTTCAGTGTAGAGTAGCTGGGGCCTTGCTGGCTGCCATGCAATGCAGCAGGCCTCTGTTGCATCTGCTGCCTCCTCTCCCAGACCTTTGTGCTGCCCCCGCAATTATTATTGTTCCCATCTGATCTCCGTGTGGTGACTGATCCCATTATCCCTTGGGGATACCCAGCTCTATCATAGTATCCCCTTTGGCGTCTCCTGCTGACTCTGGGCTCCCTGATGGAGAGTTCCTGCACTATTCATGTTTCACAATCACATCTGTCTCCCCCAGATTCTCATAGTGACCATGAGGGTCGCCCTCCCCAACATGATCCGCTTCTGCTGCTGTGTGGCTGTCATCTACCTGGGCTACTGCTTCTGCGGGTGGATCGTATTGGGCCCGTACCATGTCAAGGTATCATGGGGCACTGTACCATGTCGGGGTTGGTTGGGGAGACCAGGTCTGCAGCTGGGAGTGTTGGGGGCACTATACCATCTGGGGGGTCAGTCTGTGTAGCTAGGAGCATGGAGGGACTGTGCCATGTTGTGAGGGTCCGGGGAGGAACTAGGTTTGGCTAGGGGCATTGGGGGTGGGGGGACCAGTTTGTGTGGCTAGTAGCATAAGGGGGCAGGTCAGTGTGTCTAGGGGCATTGAGAAGGGGACTGTACCATGTTGGGGGGGGGGGCAGGTCTGTGTGGCATGGGGTACTGGAGTCCTGCCTTTGCTTGGGTGGAATTCCAAATCCCCAGCCCAAGCCAGAGATCCCAGAGCCTTGAAGTCTCCCGCTGTGCTGGTGGTAGCTCTGCCCTGTAAAATAGCAATAACCCTCCAAGCACTGCTCAGCATTAGGGGAGAACGCAGCGCTGCTCCAGCTCCCCATGTGGCTTAGCTCCAGGGTCTGCCTGGCCATACTGTACTCAGGGGCTTGGCTCTCTGTCCCATGTGCAGTTCCGCTCCCTCTCCATGGTGTCCGAATGCCTCTTCTCCCTCATCAATGGGGATGACATGTTCGTGACCTTCGCTGAGATGCAACAGAACAGCTACCTGGTGTGGCTCTTCAGCCAGCTGTACCTCTACACCTTCATCAGTCTCTTCATCTACATGGTGCTCAGCCTCTTCATTGCACTCATCACCGGCTCCTACGAGACCATCAAGGTCAGGCTGGGGAGTGCTGCCTTCCCTGGGCTGCAGGCTTGTCCGAGCCGAGAGCCATGTCCAACCTGCATGAAATGGACCTTGTCTCAGGTTCCCTCAGCCACCTCCGTCTTGGGGTGGAGCACAGCATGTTGGGACATGAAGCCCTTCCAGCAGGGAGTATTGTGAACTCCATGGGCTGCCCTCTTAGAGTGGTGCCAACGGTGGGCTTAGTTACCCAGTGACAGGAGTGTGGGCTAGGACACGTCCCCTCCCCCGGGCCTAGCTGCAGCTGGCAGTGATCGCCTGGGGACGTGGTTTGGAGACAGCTTTGCTTGAGACCATAAGCACTTGTGTGCCTGAGCCAGCCCGTTCCCAGTACGACCCAGGGGCTCCACCAATTCAAATCCAAAGTGGCGCCACCTATGGTCCCTCCGGCCCTAGCATGTCTGGCAGTGCTGCCATTGCCCTGTTGCTGCCAGCCCTCCAAGGACTGTGGGGAAGGGGAGTGAGGGCCCTGGAGTCTGCCCTTATGTGTATTGAGTAGGGAAGTCCTCTCTGGGGAGGCTTTAGCTTTCTCTTCAGTTCTGTGGAACTTTTTCTTCTAGGCCTGGACAGAGCTGTCCCTAGGGTATGGCGAATAGGGGTGACTGCCACGGGCCCCATGCTTTGGGCAGGCCCTGTGCTCCATAGGCTCCAAACCCTACTCCCCAGTGCCTCTTACCTGCTGGCAGCCCCACTGATCACTCCTCCCCCTCCCTCCCAGAGCCTCCTGTCTGCTGCCAGCAGCTGTTCCGCTGGGAGGGAGAGGGAGAAGTGGGGACTGGGCATGCTCGCGGGAAGAGGTGGGGTGGGGTTTGGGGGACGGGGTGGAGTGGGGGCAGGGCCTGGAGTGAATGGGGTGGGGCTGATTTGTCCCAGGCCCTGCACCTCCCACCCCCAGGATGGCCCTGGGCCTGGAACTTGAGCAGTGCAGGCAGCATAGGGTAAGCTTTCCCTATGCTGCACCAGGCCCTGGCATGGCTGCCTGTGAGGTGAGGGGATTGTCTCTGGCCCATCAGATCCTTGGCCTCTACTAAGACCATCAAGGCTCAGCTAGGCCATGGTCAAGACTCCAGCATGTCCACACAGGCCCTGACCAGCCCTCAGATTAGTTAGTGCCCTGGATTGGCTCCCCCTCCCGTGTCCCCAAGAGCTCCCCTGCTGCTGAGAGGAGGCTGTAGGAGGCCTCTGGAGAGGGTTATCAGGCCAGGCTTAGTGGGCAGGCAGCCTGATTCCTCTCTCTCCATTTCTGCAGCACCAGTGTGAGGGTGATGTGCCCATCACACAGCTCCACATGTATATTGCCGAGTGCAAAGACAGCCCAAGGTCTGGCAAGTTCCGCTGTGATAGCAGCTCCTCCTGCTCGGTCTTCTGCTGCTGCGAGCGGTACGTATGCAGGGCAGGAGCCAGCAGGCTCTGGGGACAGGATGGGCTGAACCACTCTGCTCTAACCCATTCCAGTAACTCTCTAGGGTCAGACCAGGGCGTGGCTGTTAGGAGTTGGGGGGGGATGGGGGGAGGGATGGTCCCCATGTACTAAGCGGAGAAGCGAACTGCACATTGTACACTGGTCAATAGAAAGGGCTTAAGAACATGCTTATAGATTAAACAGTAGTAAGTTACCGGGACCAGCTGGTGTTCCCCCAAGATTTTTGAAGGAACTCAAAAGTAAAATTCAATTCGATGTTACGAATGGTGATATGTAATCTATCACTGAAAGAAGCCTCTGTACCAGATGATTGGAAGGTAGCTAATGTAACGCCAATTTCTGAAAAAGGTTTACTGGCCAGGATCACTTCTGGAGCTTAACTTCAGCACTGGGCAAGTTGGTAGAAACCGTGGTAAAGAACAGAATTATCTGAGACACAGAAACATGATGTGTTGAGAGAGCGCCAACATGGCATTTGTAAATAGTGAGGCGTGATTATGAGGGGTCAGCAAGCATGTGAGTAAAGGCAAGCCAGTGGATAGTGTACTTGGATTTTCAGAAAGTTTGACAAGGTCCCACCAATGTCTCTTAAGGGACTAAGTTGCTACAGGATAACAGGTAGGCACCCTCATGGATCAGTCACTGGTTAGACAATAGGAAGCCAAGTGTGGGAATAAATGGTCTGTTTTCAAAATGGAGAGAGTTAAACAGGGTCCCCCAAGGATCTGTACTGGGACCTGTGGTGGTCAACATATTCATTAACGATCTGGGAAAGACATTGAACAGTGAAGTGGCAAAGTTTGCAGATGATACAACATTATTCAAGATAGATAAATCTAAAGTAATATGCTGGAAAAAATAATCCCAACCACATCTGTATAATGATGGGTTCTAAATTAGTTGTTACCACTCAAGAAAGAGAGAACCATGGATAGGTCTGAAAACTTCTGCTCAATGCACAGCAGCAGGCAAAAGTGCTAACAATGTTAGGAATTATTAGGAAAGGAATAGAAAATAAGACCAAAAATATCATCATCAACTATATAAATCCAAGGTGTGCCCACACCTTGAATACTGTGTCCAGTTCTGGTTGCCTGATCTGAAAAAGGGTATAGTGGAACTGGAAAAGGTTCAGAGAAGGGCAAGAGAGATGATGAAGGCTATGGAATGGCTTGCGTGCAAGGAGAGTCTAGAAAGATTAGGGTTATTCAGTTTATAAAAGAGATGATTACGGGGAGATATGATAAAGATTTATAAAACCATGAATGGTGTGGAAAAAGTGAATAGGGAAATATTATTTACACTTTCCCACAATACAAAAACCAGGGGTCATCCAATGAAATTAATAGGCAGCAGGTTTAGCATGAACAAGAGTGAGTATACTTTTTTCTCACATAACACAATTAACCTTTGGAACTCATTGCCATGGGATGCTGTGATGACCAAAAGTATAACTGGATTCAAAAAAGAACTAGATGAGTTTGTGGAGGATAGATCCATCAATGACGATTAGCCAAGATGGTCAGGGATAGAACCCATGCTTGGGGCAATCCTAAACCTCTGACTACTAGAAACCAAGAGGGGAAGACTGAGTAGATCACTCCAACTGTCCCATTCTGTACACTTCCCCCTGGGGCTCTGGTACTGGCCACTGTCCAAGACAAGATGCTGAGCTAGATGGATCAGTGGTCTGACCCAGTATGGCTGTTCTTATGTTCTTTTGTCTCCTCACTGACCTCTCCTTTGATAGCAGGGGACTGCAGGTTGGGACTGAAGCCCACTGGCAGAAGTGGGAGCATAAGATTGGGATAGCAAGGGGCTGGTTGGGACTGAGGGGAACTGGCAGGGCTGGGATAGCCGGGGGCTATAAGGACTGTGGGGCACCAGGAAGCCTGTAACCTTAACAAATGTATTAGTCCTTCGCTTTCATGAGCTCCATATCAAACTACTGGCAGGAGCATACTTACAGCCTAGAGATGGGAGGCAGTTCTTGAGTCCTTCCCCAGCTGGTCCCTAGGACTTGGGGTGGAAAGGGACATCTGGACAGATTGTTCTGTCTGGGTATAAAAGGGCCTCAAACATCAGGCTAAACAGCAGCCAGGTCAGTAACTAGCAACCTGCTCAAGAACCTCCTGGCCCGGCCCTTTCTCTGCAGCAGGCATCACTGTGTAGGGAAGTCTTCAGTGCAACGCGCTGTGCAGATCAGCTCCTGCTTGAGCTGTGCAGCTGGCAACAGGCTGGTGGGAGGGACATGATGCTTCCAGGTGTTGCAACTGTTTCTTTATGGTGCAGGCCAGTCCTCGTGCAGCCTGAGCTCCACTGAACTGCATGGCAGCCTCACAGCTGGCTCTGCTCTGGGGCTGGATTCCCCCTGTCCTCAAGAGTGCCCAGTGGTGCGTGTGCCAGAGGCCAGCATCTAGCTGGGGCTATACCACTCTGTTTCCTCTGCTCACCCTGCAGGGCTCCACTGCAGGACAACACGCTGGTGGTGAATTGACAATGCAGCTGCGGGAGAGCCTGATCTGCGTACCTGTCACCCTGCTGTACTGCTGGGGAACTGAGCCTGTACATGGAACTGCATGGAGGGCATTGGTCATAGGGACAATCCCAGCCCTGCGACCGCACCCAATGGCAGCTGCCTCCCTGGCTGGACTCCAAGGACCGGTAGCAGGAGTGGGGCTATGTGGCCCCCAAGCAGAGACGTGGGTGAGCTCTGTCCACCAAGATGAACCCTGGATCTGCTGAGTCAGCCCTTAGCCTATAACACTGGCTTGGCTCGGTACGTGCTGGCCACGTGGGCTGGAACCTTGGGCCACAGCTTTTATGTAGCACCTTTATTTACCTTCTGGCTTTTACCAGGCTGTGTGATCCTGGGGGGGGCGAAGCGGGGAGGAAAAGGGCTGAGGGACTCCCTTTGTCACTGCCACGGCAGTGCTAACCCTCAGCAGCATCCTCCCCTTTTCCTCCCAGCCTGGGGCCCAGCAGAGACTGCTGTGTTTATGTAGCGGAAGGAGTTCCCCTGATGGAGCCCTTCCTCCCTTAGGCAGGGAAAGCCCAGCGTTGCAGGGGGCTAGGAGAGTTTGGGAAAGATGCTACTCTCCAGACCTTGTTTCTGCTCTTAACACCCCCCTCTCCCAGTTGGGAACTGGTACCATCCCCAGAGCCTGTGTCCTGGGTACTCTGTCATTCTGCATCTTGCTTTTTCCAGTCTCGGCTCTCTCTTCTCTGACTGCTGCAGAGATGCCCCGCTGAGGGCATCACTGAGTTAAGCTGTGCTGGGTGCTGTCTGCTGGACTCTTGATAGGTTGGCTTTAGTTTTGAAGGTGTTTTTAAAAATGTTTTCAAGCTGCCTCCCCCTCCCGCAACACGCAGTGCCAGGGAGGGGAGGGAACGACGGGGCCCTTCCTGCTGCCTCAAGATGTTTAAAAAAGCCTTTGGGGCCATTATTTTTTTGTCTACATTTGTTACTTTTAGAAACAGTCTGCTCTCCCCTGTTCCTACTGGAAAACCCTGTGGGAAAGGACAGGTTCTTTCCATGCCAGCAGCAGCATAGCCCCAGGGCCCTTTTCCAGTCACCTTGCCATTTTAATACTTTTAAAACCATGTGTTTTTAGGAATCGCTGCAGTGAAGACGCCAGCCTGTCCTGTGCGTTGTTTGCAGCCGGGCACTAGTGTGTGCGCTGAGAGTGGCTGCTGGCTAGCCTCTGTGGACCAAGACCAGTCAGATCCTTTCCCCTAGGCCTAACTCTAACTCCAGGGAATAACTCTGAATCCTCCAGGTCCAGGGCCTGCTGGTTGTTCTAAATTCCTCTCGCATTGCCAGGGTCTCTAGCATCCCCATGAGCAAGCGATGGCAGCAGAACCTGCCTCCCCTGCACACAGCCTCTGCACTCTGTTTGGTTTGTGCTGTTACTGGTGAGCACCTGAGCCAGGCAGTGTAACTGCGCCTCCCCAGAGGGCTGGCAAACAAAGGAAAGTGGACCAGGAGACCTCCCCTTCCCCACCCATTCTCTGGAGTGGACTCCTAACAGCTGCAGGTACAAAAACAGGCAGATGGAAAGGCGCGATCTGAAGGAGTGTTGTGTGATGCGCACATAGTTACATGCTACAGTGAAAAGTGGGCTGTGTCTACACTGGGTGTATCTACATATCAGTGAAAGGCTTGTGATGGGGGAGGCAGAGCCTTTCTCTGCAGCTGGAAACTTTTCCTGTAGTGGAGGAAGGGCACCAGCTGCAGGGCACTACCCTGCTAAAAATAGCAGTGTAGACAGGGAGGCACAGCTTGGGCAAGTAAAGCTGTGTGGGGTATGAACTCAGTACAAGTATCTTTACCCACCCAAGCCACACCTCATGGTCAACACTATTTATAGCCATGTGAAGGGGGCTACATGCTTCTGAGAGAGGGGGGCAATGTAGACATGCTTTTAATGGTTTTAAGCAGCCTCTGTTCCTTTAAGGCCATGTAGCTAAAAGCACAGTGGGGGAAGATTGTGTCTCTGGTACCCAGCGGGAGCCCCCATAATCTATAACTGGGCACAGGGACCAGATCTCCTTAGGCTCCCCATCTCCCTTGCAGCATTGAGCCCCAGGCCCTGGCTGCCTGTTATCGGTGAAGAAAGCCTTGTGCACTGGGCACTCACTGACCCACTGTGTGGAGAATGAGCTATGGGCTGCCCTCCACTCCCAACACCAAATAGAGCTTGTGTCCTATGCAGACTGGGAAGGCCCCCAGGGCTGGGCGTTCTGGAGCCCAGCTGGAGTCCCTGTGAAACAGGGGGTGTGGACAAATTGGCAGCAGCTGGGGACAGACTTGGCAGCATCCTGCCTCCACCTCCTGTGAAATCACAAGCCTGTCCACTCTGAATTCACTTACAGCCTGGAACTCTGCAGGAAAGGGTCTCCAGCAGGGTCAGGGCTGCGGGCTGGCAGCAGCATGAGGAGCATTTAAATCTTCCTCTGGCAGAGCCCCCAACTCAGGAAGCTGGCACCTCTTTGGGCTTTGGAGAGTGTTCACTTTGCGGTGTTGGGGTCAGCATAACCAGCTTTGGAGCTTGCCTGCAGCCCCTCTCCCTGGTCAGGGCTGTCAGTACTGGTGATGTCAGTAGTACCTGCTCATCTGTTGAGGGAGATCCAGGTTTGGGCAGGTCCTTGGGCTGCTGAATGCCACTGAGATGAATCCCCATGAAGATGAGTGTGGCTGTGAGCCAGCCCTGGTGATGCTAGTTCAGACTGCGGCTCTCAACGAATTGCACTTCAATCAGATTGTTGCCCAAACCCTGGTCAATGCACACTGCAGCAGGCAGCTGGGTTCCTAGAGGCACCCCTACCTGATGGCTTCTCCCAGCAGTGCCATTGGTGCATCATCTCAAGTGAGTTCCTCCCCCCTTGCTTAATGTGTGGCACTCTTCCTATTGACTGGCAGGAGGCTGAGTGGCTTGTACATGTTTTGTTTGGCTTGGAGCGTTGCCACCTGTGCTCAACTCCTGTGTCCCAGGACCGCAGCGGCTCTGTGAAAACCCCGCGCTCTGGACCATGGGCGCTAGATCCAGGCTGCACGGTAAGAGGTTCTCAAGTCTGGGGCTCCTTTCCCATGTGCATGCTCTGACCATTGCTGCTCTGTTGAGAGCAGAGTTAAGCTGACAGGAGCACTTTTGAACAGCTCTGCTGGCCCTTCCACTGTAGTGTCTTTTCCCCCTGCTGAAGGGCCTGGTGCACAGCTGGCCTAGGCCCTAGTGACTGCTCCCATGATCTGTCTCCTCTGTGGCTGGCAGAGGCCTGTGCTGCTGGAGCTGGCTGAAGGGGCTGTTGATGTTGCTCTGGGTGTGTTGTCTCGTGGGCTGTTGGACAGGATGGGTCAAGGGCATGTTTCATAACACAAGCAGCTGTTCCCCTCTGGAAGCTGGCACGGTGGCAGCTCAGCATTATTAGTGTCCCCTCTCCCTCTTGGAAAACTCCACTGACAACTGGCCTCCTACAGCTTGTGCTGTCCCTCTGCTGTCTGTCTGCATGGGCCACTGCTGTCAAGGGAGGAAGGGGGCCCTGTCTCTTCTAACAAGCCCCTTGCATTCAGCCCTCTCAGTAGCTCCACATTGCTGTCTGTCCCTCTCAGTGCAATGGGCTCATGTGCCAAACCCCTTCACCCCACTCTGTGTGGCTAGCACGTGGCCATGCTAATAGTGCCAGCAGCTGAGCCTGGGTCTGTGTTCCAGACTGTACAGGATGCATCTGTAATAGCCCTGCTCTGGTGCCAGGACTGCTGTGCTGGGGACCAACTGTTTCCACAAGTATCTGCCCTACACTCCCCAGGCACAGGGGCTGTCACTCTGTCTGCATTGCTGCTGGGGTGAGGAGCTTATTACAAGCGTCTTGGCTCTGATGAGTTGGTGCTGGGGAAAAGGAGGCATCTTTCAGTGATCCAGCTACGGAAAATGATCCTGGCTGCTGCCTGCCTCTGTCTGCTCATGCAGCCCTTTCCTCTAGGGGTTATCAGTGCTGCTGAATTATGACTTTTGCGGAAGCCTTGCAATATTGGGTGTGACATTCTCCCCCCTGCCCCCTCCCTTGAAACTCCCTGCATCATGTGCTGTCAGAGGACTCTCAGCTTTTGTTTTAAAGAAAGTTTCTAGCCTTCCTGGTTGTGGAGAAAAAGCCTAAAGGCTCAGAGACCAGCATGTTTGTGGAAAAACCCTAAGTCAGAGCCCTCTTGATGTGGGGGGACAGACTGATGATTTTTGAAGGCGGGTGGGTGTGTGTGGTGAGGGAGGAGGCCACACTGGGCTGGGAATGGACCTTTTCATTAGTACATCACTACAAACTATATGAAGCTCCATGCACCTGTTGCTTGGAGTGTCACCTACCACTGACCTTTCACCTGCTTTCCTGGTGATGTGGGACCGGAATGCCGCCTGTGTCACGGGCACACACAGTCTGAGCAGGCACCCTGGGGGCTGTAGAGCTGCCAGCAGACTATGCCCTAGAGCCAGAGAGGGCTATTTGGCCGCTATTGTAATGCGACTCCTACACCAACTGCGCCCAGTGGCTGAAGCCTTCAGGTGTGCCGAGGTTGCAGTTGCCCATGGACCTCTCTCACTTTTGTTTGTTTGGATTGGGCTGTGAAAGCTAAAGCAGCCCTTGCACTTCTGTTCGTGGCAGTGGGCAGCACTAAGGCTGTGGGATTGGTGTAAATAGTGTGGTGGGATTGTCACTGGCAGTTGATAAAGGCAATCTTGGAGAAGTGGCTGTGTTCTCTGGTGGGTGTGTGCAGCTGCCTTGCTTCTTAAGGGCAAACTGCACCAACTTCGGTGTGTCTGTTTTTTAACCTATAGCACTTTTCCCTTTTCTTCCTCTTCCCCTCCCCTTACAAAATATAAAAACGTGGGTGTAGCTAGGTAAGTTCTGTGGTGCCCTGAAGCGCTGTGCAGAGGCCAATGGCAGTAACAAAGGATCTGCTGTCTAGGAGATGTTTACAGGCAGCCTTCATCACTGTCTAACTACAGTAAACTGCCCTGTGCAACCCAGCACATGATCACCTATGACTTGCACCCAGTGCAGGCTGTGTCTGAGGCATGAAAAAAGCATCTGTCACCAAAGCGACTTTTGTTTGTGTCCCTCAAACAATAAGAGCCTATTTTAAAAATATCAACTTCTGGATCCCACAAAGCTTGTCTGATAAGGTCCCCTGTCCCTGAGCATGTCAGCTTAGGTGAGTGGAAGCTTGAGGGTTTGTTGAGGGTCCTGGCTCTGGGGGCAGGTCATGACCCCTTTATGGAGGAAGCCATGGGGCCAAAGCAGCTCCAGACAAGACACCTCCTTGGCAACAAAGTAACATCTACAGCCTGAGGGCCTCTTATTTTCATGGTAGTAACTAAAGAAGAGTTGCGGGTCAGCAGATAATCAGCTGAATATGAGCTCCGTGTGTGCTACTCTGGCCAAAAGGACTACTGTAATCCTGAGATGCATAAATAGGGACCTTTTTAAGTAGGAGTAGGCAGGATATGGCACTGGAATTGTGTGTCCAGTTGTGGTGTCTACAGTTTAAGAAGGATGCTGATAAATTGGAGAAGGGAGGAGAAGAACCATGAGAATGATTAAAGGATTCGAGAACATGCTACTGATAGACTCAAGGAGCTCAATCTTAACAGATCAATAAGGGGTGATTTGATTCCAGTCTAAAGTACCTACATAGGGAACAACTATTTAATAAGGAGCTCTTAAGCCTAGCAAACAAAGGTATACCATGCTAAAATGGCTGGAAATTGAAGTTAAATTCAGGCAGCTTATAAAGTAATTTTTTTTACAGTGACAGTAATTAATCATTGGAACAACTTACCAAGGGTTGTGGCGGAGTCTCCATCACTGGCAGTTGTTAAATCAAGGTTGGATGTTTTTCTTAAAGAGTTGCTGTAGGAATTTTTTTGGACATGTTCTTGGCTACTGCTCAGGACCTGCTACTGCCTGGTCCAGGGGTTGCAAATTAGGAGGGGTGGGGTTTTGGGTTGAAAACACTCATGATTTGCTTATTCCTTGCTTGGGGGTACAGAGCACAGACATGAGCCCCAGGTGATACCAGAGTGGCCCTTTTGATTTTTTTCATTGGCTTCTTCCTTGCTTATTTGCAATGACTTGGCTGCCCATGCACCTGTCACCAGTCCAGGGATGGTTGCGAATTAGGAGGGGTGTGGCTTTCGGCTGAAAACACTCACTATTTGCTTCTTCCTTGCTAATGTGCAATTGATTTATTTGATGATTGAGGGGTGCTGTTTCATTTTGTGGGTGAGTATGTGAAAAGGGAGGAGAGACTTGGGGGTACAGAGCACAGACAAGTGCCCAAGGTGATACCCGAATGGCGAATTAGGAGGGATGCGGCTTTCTGAAAAATCAATATAGCGCTATGAAATGTTGATTGTTATGACCACCACTCAAAATGTACATTTTTATTTATTACTTAATGTCAATATTTTAATCCAGTCACTGGTTTGAACATTTTTTGCTTTTGTGAGTCATATTTTCTCAAATTTTTACTGTAGCTGTATATAAAAATACACATTTCATTTAACTGGTCTATCAATAGCAACCATTCACCCCATTCTAATTTTTTGGTGCTTAAAGATATTTTTGATATATAGTCACCATTACAGAACCAAACCTGTGAGATGTCCCACTTTAGGGGTATTAAGAGAAGTCTGCTACGTAACATAATTCCACTCTTCCTGTTATTTTCACATGCACCTTGTGAGTCCATAGTACATGGGAGAAAGTTATTACCTGACTCCTTCATTAGAATAATTGCTGTTTGTCTTCTAAACATCGTATTAGCCTCTTGTGTTGTTTCTACCGTACCGATGTCTTTCTGCTGCAAATACATTTCTGCAAACTAACAACGCTTCTATTTAGGAAAAAAACATCATAATTACCAGAGGTGAAAGTGGGCTGGTCCAGCATACCGGTAAGAACTGGCCACCGGTCCAGCCCGTACACAGCTGATGTTACAGTGCTGCTGTGGCAGCGCTTTATGCTTTAATGTCACTGCCCCCTTTACCTCCCCCTGCATCAGTGGCCCTGCCATAGGGTCTGGCAGCACTTTTGGATGCTATCAGCAGGGCCGCCGACAGTGGGGGAGCAAAGGGGGCTGCCCTGGGTTCCGGCGACTTACAAGGGCCTGGTGCTCCTAGCTGCCGCAGCAGCAGCAGCTGTCAGGAAGGGCTGGTGGGGGGAATCTGGCCCCCACACCTTCTGCCAGAGACCCCACCCCTTCTGGGGGCCACGAGCCCACCCCACACATCTTGGCAAGGACACCGGTGCAGTGCAGTGTAATCTCCGGCGTTTACTTTCAACCCAGATAATTACACATAAATAACAAATGGTTATGGCAATTTGGTATTCAATACCTTTAATCTGAGTGGTCCGCAGTTGTGGCCATCACTTTGTCTGGTATGCTGAACAATTTTACTCTTCCAGTCAGATGAGGATTTGCTAGTTAATAGTTTTGATGAAGTATCTGAAATTTTTAAAGTACATTAGCGGATTGCATAAATGAGCTTTTCTTCCCCCACCCCCTGGTTTCTAGACATAAATACAAATCCACTCTATTTAATTAATTATTGCAGTGACTTACTGCATGTGTGTGTGTATATATGTGTATGTGTGTGTGTGTGTGTATATATGTGTAAGGTAGAATCGTAGAATATCAAGGTTGGAAGGGACCTCAGGAGGTCATCTAGTCCCACCCCCTGCTCAAAGCAGGACCAGTTCCCAATTTTTTCCCCAGATCCCTAAATGGCCCCCTTACGAATTGAACTCACAACCCTGGGTTTAGCAGGCTAATGCTCAAACCACTGAGCTATCCCCCTAGCTTTTATATTATTGTCTCACTCTTACACCGTGTATCACCTGATTTGCTTTGCTGGCTAGATTGTCGGGCTCAACGGGTAGTGATCAATGGCTCCATGTCTAGTTGGCAGCCGGTATCAAGTGGAGTGCACCAAGGGTCGGTCCTGTGGCCGGTTTTGTTCAATATCTTCATTAATGATCTGGAGGATGGTGTGGATTGCACCCTCAGCAAGTTTGCAGATGACACTAAACTGGGAGGAGAGGTAGATACGCTGGAGGGTAGGGATAGGATACAGAGGGGCCTAGACAAATTAGAGGATTGGGCCAACAGAAATTTGATGAGGTTCAACAAGGACAAGTGCAGAGTCCTGCACTTAGGATGGAAGAATCCCATGCACTGCAAGAGACAAGGGACCGAATGGCTAGGCAGCAGTTCTTCAGAAAAGGACCTAGGGGTTACAGTGGACAAGAAGCTGGATACGAGTCAACAGTGTGCTGCTGTTGCCAAGAAGGCCAATGGCATTTTGGGATGTATAAGTAGGGCTCTTGCCAGCAGATCGAAGGACGTGATCGTTCCCCTCTATTCGACATTGGTGAGGCCTCCATCTGGAGTACTGTGTCCAGATTTGTGCCCCACACTACAAGAAGAATGTGAAAAAATTGGAAAGTGTCCAGCAGAAGGCAACAAAAATGGTTGGGGGACTGGAACACATGACTTATGAGGAGAGGCTGAGGGAACTGGGATTGTTTAGTCTGCAGACGAGAAGAATGAGGGGGGATTTGATAGCTGCTTTCAACTACCTGAAAGGGAGTTCCAAAGAGGATGGATCTAGACTGCTCTCAGTGATAGCAGATGACAGAACAAGGAATAATGGTCTCAAGTTGCAGTGGGGAAGGTTTAAGGCTGGATATTAGGAAAAACTTTTTCATTAGGAGGGTGGTGAAGCACTGGAATGCGTTACCTAGGGAGGTGGTGGAATCTCCTTCCTTAGAAGTTTTTAAGGTCAGGCTTGACAAAGCCCTGGCTGGGATGATTTAGTTGGGTATTGGTCCTGCTTTGAGCATGGTGTTGGATTAGATGACCTCCTGAGGTCCCTTCAAACCCTGATATTCTATTCTATGATTCTATGAACACCGTCCCCAACATCAAAGGATATTTCCCCATATTTAGAAGTCTTTCTTTAGCATAATGTCTTTGTTGTTCTTGTGCTTTGGAAATGTTACTTAGAGCCAGTGCACTGTCAGCATCATGTCTCAATTTCATATTTATGCTGTACTCTTTGCAGAAATCTTCCCCAAATGTATTCATATCTGGGATCTTTGTAAACAAATGGAGAAGGGGTTGTATTTGTAAAATGAAGACACACTGAATGCCATGTGTACATGAAAGGTGCCGGTAATAACATGTTTATTATGTATGTATTATGTGTAATTCTCTGAGACTTCTTCTGGAAACACTGGGTCATCACAAAACATTAGTCGAAAGGGTGACATTTTTGTTGTGGCATGTACTTTTAGTTCGCAAAGAAAACACAGTGGGCTCAGGTAATTCATCCCAATTACTCCCATTGTCATCAACCATCTTCCGCAATGCTCTGTAACAAATGCTTATTGATTTGTTTGTTTAAAAAAAAAAAGTACGGTCTTCACTGAAACAGATTTTCATTAAGTATTATACCTTTTTGAATTATGTATAAAGACCTCCAGCGTAACACATTGCTTTTGAAGATTTTTTTTAGTGAATTGCATCTTCTGGCATAGCACACTCTATGTGCCATTAGTACTCTAATATTCCTAAAAAGGAAAAGGAGGACTTGTGGCACCTTAGAGACTAACCAATTTATTTGAGCATGAGCTTTCGTGAGCTACAGCTCACTTCATCGGATGCATACCGTGGAAACTGCAGCAGACTTTATATACGCACAGAGATCATAAAACAATATCGTCTACAGCCAAGCTTTGCGATACAACCGCATTTGCTCCAACCCCTCAGACAGAGACAAACACCTGCAAGATCTCTGTCAAGCTTTCTTACAACTACAATACCCACCTGCGGAAGTGAAGAAACAGATTGATAGAGCCAGAAGAGTTCCCAGAAGTTAGCTACTACAGGACAGGCCTAACAAAGAAAATAACAGAACGCCACTAGCCATCACCTTCAGCCCCCAACTAAAACCCCTCCAACGCATTATTAAGGATCTACAACCTATCCTGAAGGATGACCCAACACTCTCACAAATCTTGGGAGACAGGCCAGTCCTTGCCTACAGACAGCCCTGCAACCTGAAGCAAAGACTCGCCAACAACCACATACCACACAACAGAACCACTAACCCAGGAACTTATCCTTGCAACAAAGCCCGTTGCCAACTGTGCCCACATATCTATTCAGGGGACACAATCACAGGGCCTAATAACATCAGCCACACTATCAGAGGCTCGTTCACCTGCACATCCACCAATGTGATATATGCCATCATGTGCCAGCAATGCCCCTCTGCCATTTACATTGGTCAAACTGGACAGTCTCTACGTAAAGAGAGGGGGAAGGGGGGTGAGAGAGCCTGGATTTGTGCTGGACATGGCCCACCTTGATTACCATGCACATTGTAGGGAGAGTGGTCACTTTGGATGAGCTATTACCAGCAGGAGAGTGAGTTTGTGTGGGGGGGGGATGGAGGGTGAGAAAACCTGGATTTGTGCTGGAAATGGCCCAACTTGATGATCACTTTAGATAAGCTATTACCAGCAGGACAGTGGGGTGGGAGGAGGTATTGTTCTATGATCTCTGTGTGGAAATAAAGTCTGCTGCAGTTTCCATGGTATGCATCCGATGAAGTGAGCTGTAGCTCACGAAAGCTCATGCTCAAATAAATTGGTTAGTCTCTAAGGTGCCACAAGTACTCCTTTTCTTTTTGCGAATACAGACTAACACGGCTGTTACTCTGAAATCTAATATTCCTACTAATTCACTTACCTTTTGATGGATTTATTAGCATTTCCAGCCAAGCCATTGGTTTGTGGGTGGTACGGGGTGGTGAAGCTACATTTTATTCCCAATCTTTCACCAATATATAGGTTAAACTGAAAGAAAATAAGTTACACCATAAACTTACATATAGACTTGTGTTAAGGAATGTTCCTTCGTGTATTTGCTACTACTTTTATGTGTAATTAGCAACAGGAATAGCCCTTCTTTTAGTATTTGTATTCAAAACAAGTAGTTGTGGGTTTCTTTGGTAGATATGAAGACACCGAAAAATAATTTTATAGCAACCCTGACTGTGACCTACACCAGTTTATAAAAAAAAGTATGGCGATTGTTTGAGATCAGTGTGTGACCTGATAGTGACTTTGACTGCATAGTAAAAATACCTGGAAAAAACCCAGTCGTTACCTTATTGAATTCTGGACCAAGATCTGTCAATATCTGCTGTAGGCATCCACATTGAACAGCTGTTTTGTGTGCTGTTTGCCACCTCAGATGCAGACTTACTTCTAAGTGGAAAGGCTTCCACCCATCTTGAAAGATAATCTATGACTGTCAGTATATACTGATATCCATCCTTTGGTACTGGTAATGGTCCTATTAAATCTATTCCCACCAATTCCCAGATCCGAGTGACCTACATGCAAGGGTACCAGTTACAGTCATATTTCACATGTTTCTAACTAAATGTTCTCAATAAACCCCTATATCATACTCAGAGTACACAATGTAATATGGTTACAACAGCCATAGAATCAGACTGTAAAGACCATTTTTAAATAAAGAAAAAACAACCAAAAAGAAGTACAGAAATGGGTTAGGAAAAACAATACACGAGTAAAGCTGACGAAATATCCCCAGCCAGTGCAAAGGGCATTAGAGGTAATTGCTGCACTATGCTGTGGCACTTGTATTCATTGCGCTCGTTTCCAAATCAAGGCCTCGTTGTATAGCCCAAACAACCGTGAATAATGATAAACGATAATGTCTGATTCCAAAATTCACCTTTATGCTTTTCAAGGTGGTATCCAGATTTAATTTCTTTCCCTCTTTCTGATAAGTCAAACATGGTGCAACCTCTTTTGGATGGAACAATATGATGACATGAACATTTCGTTATGGAAATAGCATTGCACAAGAACAACGTTCACATTTGCACACCAAATATATTTTTATATTTTTTATACATTTAGAACTTGTATTTCAATTGTAAATAGCTTTCTTCAGAATTTAGTTTCATTAATTTACATACCCAGTTGGCAAGATCTTTTGTCATCCCTGGCCAATAGTATTTTGATGTCAGAATATTCCTAGATATCCACCCAATGCACTGCCATGATACATTTCGAAGAGTTGCAGGGCTTCTTTCATGGTCTGCACGACGACAACCTTTTCTTCCTTTTGCCGAATGGAACAATGTCCCCTCTGTTGATTATAGAAGATAGAGCATGGAGGATGATCAAGGTTTCTCAGGGTCATGGGCCAGAGCAATTGCTGGGACCCTACCCACCTTGTCCACTTCCTGCACCACCCATGGCCCTATCCCTTTCAGCCTCTTCCCCGGGATCTCAGCCATATTCCACCTAGGCTCCCCGCCATTCCGCCTCCCCCACAACTCCTTTGCTCATTTCCTAACCACCAGCCTCTCCCACATAGCCCCAGGACCGGAGAAGCTCTGTGTCATGACCCCGGGGTTGTACCAGGGAGTGAGAGCTCCTCCAGTCCCAGGGCTCCAGCGGGGATTCAGGTGCTGCGCTTCTTTACGGGACCAGGAGTGGGGTGCTGTGGATTATCCTGCCCCACCTGGCACTTCTGCTGGAGAAGGGGTTGGGCATCAGGGCTTCCCCTGCTACCCCATGGCTTCTGCCAGGGCTGGGGTGGGGGCGATGTGGGAGGCCCTCCCTTGCCCCACTCACCGGGTGGAAGCTGGGGGCCCCCCTTGACCTTGGCCCCTCAGCCTGGGCTCTGTAGTCACAGTGACTAATCCGCCACTGAGGGAGACATGATGATGAAATCAAGTGTTGCACTTAAGCTATGATCAGCTATTTGCAAAGCCATTCATTAATTATAAGGCATATGCATATTAAAGACATCTATATACACTATGGTTCGTAATGCTTTGAGTACAAGGGAGGAATTTCACTGTGTGGTTAGAACTAGCTGTTTTGTTTTGTTTTTTTAATTATAAATGATTGCTTAGTAAATATATAGTGATTGTTGTTGGTGCTTGCAGCAGAATGGATAACATACTTAAGAAATGAAGCAAAGTCATAGGGCTTTTTGATAAAATTATACTCATTTCTCATGTAACTGCACAATGTGTTTGTTGCACCACCCGCATAGATAACAGAGGAGATTTTCTGGAATATTTGAATAAAACTCGAGAGGCCGGTCCCATTGAAGGTAAGGTTAACACTCCAAATAATCCCAGTGTTGGGACACCAGGACCATCATTTACAGTCTGGTTTCCAGTGTAATGTGTCAGTATTATCTGAAAAAAAGTATTCCTTGCCTTCCAAAAAAAAGTTGACAGCAAATCGATGCAGGTTCAGTCTGCTTGCTTTATTGATTCCTTCAGGATATGGGCTGCTCCTTAGATATGCCAAAACATTTGCAATTTTTTCCTAAAAAGATTTCCCTGAGAATTGTTTACAAGAGAAAACAGTTACTTAAGTGGAAATAGGCCATGTAAGACTCAAAGTTCAATTAGAAGGTATGAGATGTACGTTGCAGACATATAAGCAGGGTAAACCTAAATCAACAATGTATCATTCATAGGCCAGTCACAAGACAGACATAAATAAATTGCAGGCATGTATATTTTGCAGGTATAATTTTGAAGTATTTGTGGCTTGAAAAATATGGCTGTATTCGATCAATGCAGATCGAATGTTATTGGAGATAAGGATATCACCTACAAGACTGTAACCACGTATAGACATAGTAACTCAGAATATTTAACAGCACAAAAATGTCAATATAAAAAGATAACACAAGCAGAGTTGCTTGAAGATAATGGGTTCCAAAAACAAATGAATACACACGGAAACGTTCTACTTACCTGCCATTATGGGTGTAGTACAGGTAATTTTTTGCTTGGTGCAACTTTCTGGGAGAAAATAGTTTTCTGAAATTCTGAAGAATCTGAAATAAAGAAACCCGTATAACCAATGTTCCCTCCAATTTTTGACAGGCCATATGCACAAAAAATTTCTTCTGTGCAAATTTTTGTGCGTGCGGGGTTTTGCCATGTGCGCTGAGTTTAGGATCTGTATGCACGCGCACAGCTTAGGGGGAACAGTGCCTATAACATACACTTATCCGTATCACCTCATTTTCAGCTATGCCTTTCAGCGGTCATGTTACTGTAATTTAGCTAATCAATCGTAACATGATGTAACTTGATTATCTAACAAAACTAGATCCCACCACCTTAATTGGTTTTCACCCAGCAAAATTACTTATACATCAGCCAAAAAAAATCAAAGACCCATACAGAGACCATACAGATAAACAATAGAGAAATGGGGACCATAAAGACCAGACAATAAGTAAATCACCATGATTACAGGCAAACCATTTAAGAAGTGACTATACAGTTATTGTTAAGAATCTTGATGATTCATGCAGTTAGCCAGCAAGACCCTTAGTATTTGGGTACTTTTAAGAGATTTGCCCATTAGTTGGGGTATGCTCATTTATTGGGGTTACTTGTCTGGGTTTTT